TTCTTTTTTTTTCCCGCCCCCCCCCCCCCCCCCCAAAAAAAAAAAAAAAAAAAAAGATGGTTCTCTTAAGATTTGGTTTCTCTTCTGTACAGTGTGAGTTTTACAGTCATGTAATGGTAGGATTTATGGATTTTTTTTTTTTTTATTGCGTTTCTGCTTTCACATTTTAGTGAAGGATGTAGCGTCTTCTGTGAAGAGCCAACTGCAATCTGAGCCGTTTTCTGTGGCAGGACAACAAATAAATACGGTTGCATTCAAAAAGCTCGGTCAGTTATTTATTTATTTTTTATTACTTTGGGTCTAAAATGCATCGATTTATTGCACGCAGCTGCAGGTCTCTGTGACAGTTTGCAGACAAACGCACATGAGCTTATTTGTGGAACACGCACATTAAATGTTATACACGGCAGCATGAAGATAAGGGGACTACAGGGACTTAAAATGACCTTGTGGTGTGGGAGGCCATTGTAATGTGAGCAACCCAATGGAATATTGAGCTGCATTTTTATCTATGGGTGGCTAAAGACTGATAAGACCCGGATACCCAGTGGACTCCTGCTTTTAATAGACTCCAGAACATCGCTCCTAATAAGACGACCTTAAAGTTATTTTTCTGACAACGCTGGACTGAAGTTCAATAATAACCCTCCAAAAGAAGATCTTTGTGTCTTAAATACAGAAGTGTACATCCAAATCAGCTGTAAATGTATTTCCATTTATATAGGCTGTAATGTAGAACGTCTTGTGAAGCCACAGAGGCAATTTCCTGGATAATGGGGCTAATGCTCCTATTTCATGGTTTATGATCTCTTCTGATGACATGTTTGTCACTGTTGATGCGTGCCATCACAGAGGCGCTTTGGTTCTGACCTTCGCATATAAATGTCCAAAGCCCATGTTTTCATTCTTCTTCTATTGTGAACATGCAGGGATAGATGGGTCCTTTTTAAAATTGCCGTATAACTATGTGAGGGGGTGGGGGGGGGGCTTTTAAGTCAGCAGCAGTACTCCGCTTTCCTTTGTGTCCCCGTTCAACTTTGAGTGTGCTTCTTTTTGAGCTGAAGGCATGCAGAACTTTTTATGCGAGTCGTTTGATGCA